GTCACCATAGACCCGTCACCATAGACCCGCCACCATAGACCCGCCACCATAGACCCGCCACCATAGACCCGTCACCATAGACCAGTCACCATAGACCCGTCACCATAGACCCGTCATTATAGACCAGTCATTATAGACCAGTCACCGTAGACCCGTCACCGTAGACCAGCCACCGTAGACCTGTCACCGTAGACCTGTCACCGTAGACCCGTCACCGTAGACCCGTCACCGTAGACCAGTTTTTGTGGCTTTTATATAATTTTGTTATTTCTTAGCCTTGATGAAGGGGAAGTTTTCAACCCCCAAAATGTGTCGGCTTTTTGACCCCTTCTCATGAAAAAATAAACTTCCATCTTTCTAATGTTCTCCAGATGCCTCCAGTGACCCTCTGAGACACCCCGGTGGACAAAGCATTGCCCTGATTTTCACCTTCCCTGGGATCCGGTACTCCCCGACACAAGTCCACATTCAGTCAGACATCACCATCCCCTCCCCCATCCTATTCCAACCACCGGGCCACCATACCCCCTCTTCCCATTCACAGCTCCTTTGTCCTTCTCAGTCTCAGCAGAAAGAAGAGTCTCCTCGGAACGTTATCAGATGAGATAGTTATGGGTGAGTCTCTGATCCTCCTGCTTCCTTTATCACTGGAAGGAGATGATGAGTCCACACCCCTGGTGTGCCAACCTGCAGGCCTGGGACCACATGTGGCCCTTTGGCACTTATTGCATGGCCCTCTGTAGGCAGTGGAATGTGTTTTCCTAACCAAAGTGCTTCCTCAGTCTAGTGAAGGGAACATATTCCTCAGACCGGCTTCTAGTAGTTGGTGGCTTGTTTTATGATGTCACTCTTATTTTCCTGGGATCTTATATCAAATGTGGGACAAGTCATTGTTAAGGGGACCTTCGGGAGCACACATGTGGCAGCATTGATTGATGAAGGCACTGTAAGAGCCATGATCTCCAGTAGTCTCATGTAATGTGTCCCCGGTCCTTGGCTGTCTCCTGGAACATGTCCCCGGTCTATGGCTGTCTCCTGGAACATGTCCCGGTCTATGGCTGTCTCCTGGAACATGTCCCCGGTCTATGGCTATCTTCTGGAATATGTCCCGGTCTATGGTTGTCTCCTGGAACATGTCCCCAGTCTATGGCTGTCTCCTGGAACATGTCCCCGGGCTATGGCTGTCTTCTGGAACATGTCCCGGTCTATGGCTGTCTCCTGGAACATGTCCCGGTCTATGGCTGTCTCCTGGAACATGTCCCGGTCTATGGCTGTCTCCTGGAACATGTCCCGGTCTATGGCTGTCTCCTGGAACATGTCCCGGTCTATGGCTGTCTCCTGGAACATGTCCCGGTCTATGGCTGTCTCCTGGAACATGTCCCGGTCTATGGCTGTCTCCTGGAACATGTCCCGGTCTATGGCTGTCTCCTGGAACATGTCCCGGTCTATGGCTGTCTCCTGGAACATGTCCCGGTCTATGGCTGTCTCCTGGAACATGTCCCGGTCTATGGCTGTCTCCTGGAACATGTCCCGGTCTATGGCTGTCTCCTGGAACATGTCCCGGTCTATGGCTGTCTCCTGGAACATGTCCCGGTCTATGGCTGTCTCCTGGAACATGTCCCGGTCTATGGCTGTCTCCTGGAACATGTCCCGGTCTATGGCTGTCTCCTGGAACATGTCCCGGTCTATGGCTGTCTCCTGGAACATGTCCCGGTCTATGGCTGTCTCCTGGAACATGTCCCGGTCTATGGCTGTCTCCTGGAACATGTCCCGGTCTATGGCTGTCTCCTGGAACATGTCCCGGTCTATGGCTGTCTCCTGGAACATGTCCCGGTCTATGGCTGTCTCCTGGAACATGTCCCGGTCTATGGCTGTCTCCTGGAACATGTCCCGGTCTATGGCTGTCTCCTGGAACATGTCCCGGTCTATGGCTGTCTCCTGGAACATGTCCCGGTCTATGGCTGTCTCCTGGAACATGTCCCGGTCTATGGCTGTCTCCTGGAACATGTCCCGGTCTATGGCTGTCTCCTGGAACATGTCCCGGTCTATGGCTGTCTCCTGGAACATGTCCCGGTCTATGGCTGTCTCCTGGAACATGTCCCGGTCTATGGCTGTCTCCTGGAACATGTCCCGGTCTATGGCTGTCTCCTGGAACATGTCCCGGTCTATGGCTGTCTCCTGGAACATGTCCCGGTCTATGGCTGTCTCCTGGAACATGTCCCGGTCTATGGCTGTCTCCTGGAACATGTCCCGGTCTATGGCTGTCTCCTGGAACATGTCCCGGTCTATGGCTGTCTCCTGGAACATGTCCCGGTCTATGGCTGTCTCCTGGAACATGTCCCGGTCTATGGCTGTCTCCTGGAACATGTCCCGGTCTATGGCTGTCTCCTGGAACATGTCCCGGTCTATGGCTGTCTCCTGGAACATGTCCCGGTCTATGGCTGTCTCCTGGAACATGTCCCGGTCTATGGCTGTCTCCTGGAACATGTCCCGGTCTATGGCTGTCTCCTGGAACATGTCCCGGTCTATGGCTGTCTCCTGGAACATGTCCCGGTCTATGGCTGTCTCCTGGAACATGTCCCGGTCTATGGCTGTCTCCTGGAACATGTCCCGGTCTATGGCTGTCTCCTGGAACATGTCCCGGTCTATGGCTGTCTCCTGGAACATGTCCCGGTCTATGGCTGTCTCCTGGAACATGTCCCGGTCTATGGCTGTCTCCTGGAACATGTCCCGGTCTATGGCTGTCTCCTGGAACATGTCCCGGTCTATGGCTGTCTCCTGGAACATGTCCCGGTCTATGGCTGTCTCCTGGAACATGTCCCGGTCTATGGCTGTCTCCTGGAACATGTCCCCGGTCTATGGCTATCTTCTGGAACATGTCCCCGGTCTATGGCTGTCTTCTGGAGCATGTCCCTGGTCTATGGCTGTCTTCTGGAACATGTCCCTGGTCTAAGGCTGTCTTCTGGAATATGTCCCCGGTCTATGGCTGTCTTCTGGAACATGTCCCCGGTCTATGGCCATCTTCTGGAACATGTCTCCGGTCTATGGCCGTCTTCTGGAATATGTCCCCGGTCTATGGCTGTCTCCTGGAACATGTCCCCGGTCTATGGCTATCTTCTGGAACATGTCCCCGGTCTATGGCTGTCTCCTGGAACATGTCCCCGGTCTATGGCTGTCTCCTGGAACATGTCCCTGGTCTATGGCTATCTTCTGGAACATGTCTCCGGTCTATGGCTGTCTCCTGGAACATGTCCCCGGTCTATGACTGTCTTCTGGAACATGTCCCCGGCCTATGGCTGTCTCCTGGAACATGTCCCCAGTCTATGGCTGTCTCCTGGAACATGTCCCCGGCCTATGGCTGTCTCCTGGAACATGTTCCTGGTCTATGGCTGTCTTCTGGAATATGTCCCCGGTCTATGGCTATCTTCTGGAATATGTCCCCGGTCTATGGCAGTCTCCTGGAACATGTCCCCGGTCTATGGCTGTCTCCTGGAACATGTCCCCGGTCTATGGCTGTCTCCTGGAACATGTCTCCGGTCTATGGCTGTCTTCTGGAACATGTCCCCGGTCTATGGCTATCTTCTGGAATATGTCCCCGGTCTATGGCTGTCTTCTGGAACATGTCCCCGGTCTATGGCTGTCTTCTGGAACATGTCCCCGGTCTATGGCTGTCTTCTGGAACATGTCCCCGGTCTATGGCTATCTTCTGGAACATGTCCCCGGTCTATGGCTGTCTTCTGGAACATGTCCCCGGTCTATGGCTGTCTTCTGGAACATGTCCCCGGTCTATGGCTGTCTTCTGGAACATGTCCCCGGTCTATGGCTATCTTCTGGAACATGTCCCCGGTCTATGGCTGTCTTCTGGAACATGTCCCCGGTCTATGGCTATCTTCTGGAACATGTCCCCGGTCTATGGCTGTCTTCTGGAACATGTCCCCGGTCTATGGCTATCTTCTGGAACATGTCCCCGGTCTATGGCTGTCTTCTGGAACATGTCCCCGGTCTATGGCTATCTTCTGGAACATGTCCCCGGTCTATGGCTGTCTTCTGGAACATGTCCCCGGTCTATGGCTGTCTTCTGGAACATGTCCCCGGTCTATGGCTATCTTCTGGAACATGTCCCCGGTCTATGGCTGTCTTCTGGAACATGTCTCCGGTCTATGGCAGTCTCCTGGAACATGTCTCCGGTCTATGGCTGTCTTCTGGAACATGTCTCCGGTCTATGGCTGTCTTTATTTCCATTAGATTTCAGTCCTGAGCACACCTTGAAATTGTGTCCCTTCTTCTGAGAACCTGATGGAGGAGTTTAGGAATTCATGATTCATCTGATGGCTCCCAGACCTCCATTCCTCTTCATTGCACCATTTCCTGGATGGCCTGGTCACATGTCTGGCCGTGGCCTCCCAGCAGATCCTGAATCCAGATGACCAACTTGGGAGCTTTTACTACATCAACACACGTGTACCAGGAAGCCCATTGTCCGTCATATCTGCTCCCGCTTCCCGGACTCCGGACGTATGGAGATACATGTATGGCCTTGTTGGGTTCCGTCTTGGCCCAGTCACAATGCTGCTCACATACCGAGTTGGTTGTAGGAGATAAAAGCTCATTTCTATTTCTGCATGGAAGAATGTGTGGAAAGTCTGTATCACGTCCTTCCCTACGCTCCTCCACATGTCAGCAGTCCCGGTGTCTGTTTTTTGTAAATTGGTGTGAAATCTCCTCATAAGGACTTTGTGTGACACCAGCCGCGGCCGGGACCACGGCGCTCCTAATACGGAGTTCTATGTATACCGAGATCTGATCACAGAAAACGCCATTTACACCCCACGAGGCTGAAGGACAAAATCCCGTACAACTCCCCTGACCTCCTCCTCCCGGTGACAACAAGGACATGGGAGGAATGAATATCTCTGTATAATACACCTGTACTGATCCCTGTATAATACACCTGTACTGATCTCTGTATAATACACCTGTACCGATCCCTGTATAATACACCTGTACCGATCCCTGTATAATACACCTGTACCGATCCCTGTATAATACACCTGTACCGATCCCTGTATAATACACCTGTACCGATCTCTGTATAATACACCTGTACCGATCCCTGTATAATACACCTGTACCGATCCCTGTATAATACACCTGTACCGATCCCTGTATAATACACCTGTACCGATCCCTGTATAATACACCTGTACCGATCCCTGTATAATACACCTGTACCGATCCCTGTATAATACACCTGTACCGATCCCTGTATAATACACCTGTACCGATCCCTGTATAATACACCTGTACCGATCCCTGTATAATACACCTGTACCGATCCCTGTATAATACACCTGTACCGATCCCTGTATAATACACCTGTACCGATCCCTGTATAATACACCTGTACCGATCCCTGTATAATACACCTGTACCGATCCCTGTATAATACACCTGTACCGATCCCTGTATAATACACCTGTACCGATCCCTGTATAATACACCTGTACCGATCCCTGTATAATACACCTGTACCGATCCCTGTATAATACACCTGTACCGATCCCTGTATAATACACCTGTACCGATCCCTGTATAATACACCTGTACCGATCCCTGTATAATACACCTGTACCGATCCCTGTATAATACACCTGTACCGATCCCTGTATAATACACCTGTACCGATCCCTGTATAATACACCTGTACCGATCCCTGTATAATACACCTGTACCGATCCCTGTATAATACACCTGTACCGATCCCTGTATAATACACCTGTACCGATCCCTGTATAATACACCTGTACCGATCCCTGTATAATACACCTGTACCGATCCCTGTATAATACACCTGTACCGATCCCTGTATAATACACCTGTACCGATCCCTGTATAATACACCTGTACCGATCCCTGTATAATACACCTGTACCGATCCCTGTATAATACACCTGTACCGATCCCTGTATAATACACCTGTACCGATCTCTGTATAATACACCTGTACCGATC